ACAATATATTAACTATTGTAACATTTCAGTGATCCAGAATGTCTTCCACTCTGTCCACAATCAAAGTTTCTGTTATCTCTTAGTCTTTTTTCCAAGAACAAATGATGTTGCTTTTGTCATTGATGTGTATTAGACTTTCAGATCCAAATATCTAAAAAAATCATTCTACCTATCTAAAGATAAGTATCTTATACAAGTCTTTTTGGAAAAAATATTAAATAAAACAGACCACTGTGAAACAAAGAAGTTTATCCTTATAAGCTCTGATAGCTTCTTAAACTCAAATTAACTTCTGTTTGAATGGCCTTGTTGAACAGTGTTTGCGCATGTTCAATCTCTGATTTTATTGACATTTTAATAAATGGATAAATTTTAAAAATTGTTACTCATGTATCTGTTGTGGGTGGCACGGTGGTCCAGTCACCTCACAATGAGAAGGTCRCAGRGTTTGCCTTTGGGTCTGGGGCCTTTTAGAATAAGGTTTACATTTTTTTTTCTGTACATGTGTGGGTTTTCTCCCACAAACCAAAGTGATAACTAAAGTTTTCCCTCAGCGGGAGTGGGAGGGTGAATGGCTGATTGTCTCATTTCTCTCTGTGATAGACTTATGACCTGTCCAGGGTGGACACTGCCTCTCACACAAACTGCTGGAGATATCAAAAAAGTAAAAATATGTTTTCCAATAAAGACATAGAGCTATACAGTATTTAATGTTTAGCTGCTTAAAAAGCTTTTGTGTAAGTGGAATAATGGCTAGAAACAATATAATTACAAATTTCTACATAGATATTTTAATAATACATAAGGAACTGCTATTTTAACATGAAAAACAGTTTTAATAGGGATTAGGCTTTTTCTATATTCTTACTTATTGACAATGATTTTTAACAGAAGTCATTGCAGGGTAGGCTAGTATAAAAATGCTACATGTCCAGTACAGACCAAATTACATGCAATTCAGTTTAGTGAAACAAAATCAACCAATTAAAAATAATAAGGTTCAGTTTATTATACAAACTTTCTTTCTGACTTGTAAGAATGTYATTTTGACTTGGTGGAAATCTACTACTGATAGAAGTGTTTGATTAAATGGTACAACAGCTTGCCATACAGTGTAAAGCCATGTTGCCAAGTAACATTGTGGCGATGCTAAAACCTTTCTGTAACCAAGGGCATAACTTTAGGTCACCATTAGGGGGATTATGCTTTAAAACCCTGCATGTCATTTTTAGCAATTACGCTTAAACATACATATGTGACATCATACATTTTTAAATCAGGTCAAAGTTATTGATTTGAGTTGTTTTTTTTTTTAGTTTTTTATGAGAGGATGAGTTTTTCTTTTAAAAAAATTACATCAGCACACAGATTTGAAAAGCCAATGGTTTATAGTTTTATTTAAAATGTGATTGAGAAGCTGGTGGTGACACATTTCAGCTCAGTCATTCTGAKCTGCTTACAAAAAATATGAAAAATAAAAAATAGCAGTTTCTGATGCACTTTCATCACATCACAATATTTCAGTTAAAAAAAGGAAAGTTTAACTTGCAGTAACAAATGTAGGAAATAAAAAGTCCTGTCCTTCAAAGTTCTTTTTGTAGTTTTTTTCTCTCTTTTTTTTTTTACAAAGTTGTTCAAACTTGTTTTAATTTGAACAACCCAGTTGTGCAGAAACATAACGAGAAGCTATAAAACCTCCGTCTTCAGGTAGTGCTTTGACCTGTACTTCACATGAGTGCTGYTTGGTGGTCTCGGGTCGTAGTGTCCCACGCTTGGTGGTCTCAAGTCGTAGTCCCCCATGCACACAGCCACAAAGAACAGGGTCCCTCCGATGACCAGTCCCAATCCTCCAAACCATCCCGAGAACATCGCCTCGCCAATCTCCCACCGAGGCATGGCATCAGGAAAACCTTCATCCCAGAACTCCACCACAGTCGTGTACGCCACAATGGACACAGGGGCCAGAGTAGTGAGTCCTGATACCCAGGTCAGGATTCCGCTGAAWATAAGGAGCCCTCTTTTGACACCAGGTTGACCCACAAACATCCCAACCCCTTCCAGACCAGGGAAGGCAGCCAACTGAGCAAAAGCTCCAGTGCCTATAGATATTAACATGAGGACCCTGGAGATCTGCAGGTCCACCGGCAGTCCCAGAACCGAGTCATAGGCTTTGCACTGAATTCCTCTCTCATCCGTGTAAAGGCAGGTGAGCCACAGCCCAGAGAACCAGTTCTCCACCTCGTTCAGGTCAGAGTTCATGGTTTTCCACAGGGGCAGAAAGGTGGTGACCAGAGATGTGACAAAGCTCCCAAATGTCACAAAGAGCGCAGTCCTTTGCATCATCTTCGTCGTGAGGAAAACCATCTTCAGCTTCCGTGCAATAAGTCTGTGGCGTGATTCTGCTCTTCAGGTTTGAGTTAACAGTGTAAGAGATCCAGTGTGACTGTGTGGCCCRGCCCAGCTGCTGGAAAAGGCCCCACTTCTCCAGCCTCCCTAATAAAACGCCCCTGATAAGACGGAGATAATCCTCGACTGCACCTCAACAAAAGACCCACTGTTTGCTCTCAGCGTTCAATGTCATCACACAGAATATTGAACTCTGTTTTTAAATGAAACCAAATACATGAGATTCCAGACTGTGTGTGCAAATTTTAACTTAAATGACACCCATAGGAACTCTCACAGACACTCACAGGAAGAAATAAAAGCTGCTTAAAAAATTTGGGTATATTCATAAATCTGAGTTTTAGTACATCTTTTCAAATAAAATGATTGTAACAACATTACTGATGAAGAGTTTTGTCATTTTTAATGAGGAAATTTGCACTCTAAAAGAAGTCAGATGAGGGATATTTTTTTTGCCAAGTGTCTCAAGTTCCTGGACCATGAATAGCACTTTGTGCTCACTCTAACAGCCCCTACAACAGTCTAAAAGAGGCCAGTTGTCTCCAATTGTGAACTACACCTTGAGTTTTTAGAGTTCTTGATGACTCCTTCCCCAAAAGAAAAAGAAATCCAGTGAACTTCCTATTTAATTAGGTTATGCAATTATTTTATTTTCAGATTGCTTTATTAAATGTTTTTTTGGGGAAAAAAAAACCCATACTTGTCTGAAAAATGGCTCTTTTTCTAAGGTGGTTTAGATGTTTCAGATCCACCTGACTGCGCTGCCTAATGAATGACTGCAGTGCAACGC